TAGAAATAGGATATTAAGTCGGAATGTGAATTAATATCTGCACATTTCTAGTCTCAACTGTGTGCTCCTTAGTAGAGTCCCTATGGTATCATATAAGAAACTAAATATATGTGGAACAGTAAGCTTCAGCTGGGAGCCCTTGGTCTGAATTAGATCAGATACGTGTTGACTTTGAGTAAAAGAACTTAAAATATCACAAAACTTCATACACATGAAAAACATGGTGAAGTTATAAAGTGGAGCAAAACCATTTACTAGCTTAATTTTGGTCATAAATTAGTACTGTTGGGAAAGGATGAAGGAGACCTGGCATGCTCATTTTTTCAGAAGAAATACCATGAGGGCAAACAAATTCTACTAACAAAACAGACCACTTGATACAGGAAAATGAAATAGAGACCAAAGTCTTTCTGGTAGAAGAAACCAATGAATATTTTCATAGGTAGGCTGGCTCAAGCACTAGTATCAAATCAATGAAGTACATCATGGATAAGACTGCAAGTCCCTGATTTAAGTTGCAGTGATCTGAATGACTGCAGAATGATGACAGCACCAGCAGGCTTACAGGCAGGGCATCAACAGCACTTTTTTTTTTTTTTTTTTTTTTTTGTCCTGACATTCACTCCAATATCAATTTTCTTGAGTCTTAAGTACATGCTTTAACTTATGGACAATTACAGGTTTTTGTGAATTATGGGCCTGGAATGAGTAGTTTTACAGCAAGAGTCACTGGAGCAGATTTAGAAAGCTGTCACCAATTTGTATCTGCAGTCCAGTTGTACCCATTTCTCTTTGCCTTTCATTTGTTTCTTACAAGTATCCACAGCACAAACCTACTTTACTTTTTATATTTTGTAAATATGTGTTTGAACCTTCCCTGCCATCAACTTCCACCATCAGACAGTTTATTAGTGTTATGTCCTGATGGCTAAGGAGGGAAAGCATGATATTCCAAATGCTAACAAGTCCCTAATGCTGTGTGCAAGACTCAAACCCAGAGAACTTCTTGAAGCAATAAATGTCAGTAATTACCACTAATAAAAATCTTCATCAGCATAAAATAAAAAAACGTGCCTTTGAAGGGAATTACAGTCTATCCAGGCTAGTTTACAGCTTTAGGAAAAAAAAAAAAAAAAAAAAAAAAAAAGAGAGAAAAATTAAAAAATAAAAGTATAGAATATTCCTATACTCAATGTTTTATTGCCTTATAACTTTCCTAGGCATTACTTAGGTGGTTTATGTCCCTATGCTACCTATGAGGCTCTGCTTGGTTACAAGTTGTCCTTCAGCCCAGAGACATGAGGAACGTAGCACATCAAGTCTCCTCCTACATCCTATAGGGAAATACAAAAATGCTTCTTGCTATAATACTTTTGAATTTTGCAAATTAAGAACGGTGATGAAGATTATGAATTTCTATCCCATTTTCTCTTCTTGCGTTAATTCAGTGCCCTGTGCTGCTGATCATGGAACAACGTGGAGTATCTGGAACAACTGTTCTGAAGCAGTTTTAACTTGCCAGATATTGAAGCACACCACAGCTTAGCACAGTGATGGAGAAGGCTTCTCAACCAGTCTTCTCTAGAAATTATGTGAAAATAGCTGTCAATGAGATCTAACACTATTGTTTGAGGAGATAACTGATTTGATTAGAAGGAAAAAACATTAATTCCTTCCCATCTTTCTACTATTCCCTACATAAAGAACAGGAACAACATGCACTGTGTAAATGCTGGAGGAAGTTGTCTGTCACTGAAGCTTGCAACAGATAACTAGGTCCATATTTTCTTCTCAGGCTGCAATTGTGGTATCTTTGTTGATCACTGTGAGGAGCTGCTGTTTAATTAACATAGGACCTAAATGAAGGGCCTAAATTTGTATCTTTGCTTTAGATTAAGTAGGTATTACTTGTCTCTAGTCAGGTTCACTGAATGCCTAGTTTATCTTATTTACTACAGGAACATTTAATAAGATGCCAGTAATGTGTTTGTTTTTTAAAGGTTTTTTTTTCATATTAAGAAATTCACTATGGTCTGTAAAGATTACATCTCTTCCAGTAAATCAAGCTTATAGAATAGCTTCTCATTTCTTCAGTGAATGCTTTGTGAAGAAAAACACAATAGATAATCATCTTTATTGTGAAGCCTCAATTATTTGATGCTTGGAGTAATTGCAATTTCTGCTGTCAGGATTACGAGTGTCCAGAACTTCTCACATCTTTTAACATCTCAGGCTATTGGAACTTAGTTATTTCATGTGTCACTGGAAGAAGAGTCCTCTTTAAAGAAACAGATCAACCAACCAACAAACTTAAGCATTTGTTTCTCGCATGGGAAATTCCCTTTGAGAATTGATCTCAACCAACAGTTCATCGGAAAATTGCATTTAACAGCTAACCAGATGACAACAGGAAGGTGAACTACACCTGCTGTCTTCAATCCTTGAGTCCGATGTTTACATTACCCAGTATCACCTGAAAAGAGATTACGTGGTCCAGTGATAAAGAATCTTGTAACCTTGCTGTGTACACACGATCAACTGTTAAGGTGATGTTTCAAGAGAGAAAGGAAAAATGAAATACTGCATCAGAGTTTTCTTAGGAAAATAGATGAAATACCTACTGGCACCTCTACATTCTCAGCAGTCATTGAAATCTCCTGGACAAAGCTTGGCTAAAATAATAATAATAATATTGTTCAAGAAGAGGAGTATAAGTTATATGAACACCAGGAAAATCCTTATAAAATAGGCAGACTACACCTACCACTACATTATCTACCTTGATATCCCTTCCTGCAGGAGACATAGTGAAATGAATTGGTGCAGAATAATCCCACCACATCATGCATTCAGGAAAATGTTACAAAAGAAGACAACCTCTAGCAGAAATATCTTATTCAAATGCCATACAAAAGTAGGAATGTTTCTGTAAGGATCCTTCAGTCCTACCTTTATTTTGCTATTGGCTTATTTGTCTGCATAATTTAAACATGCATTTAAGTAATACATTTATTTTTTTTTAAATGAACAAAGAATCCTACATGTTTGTGCTTCTCTAACAGGCGAGTCTGTGAGCAGGACTGGGATGTAAACACAAACTTGGTATCATTCAGCACTCCTAATGCATTTTACTTAAGTCTTTTGATGTAAGAGTCCATAGATGTTTATTCTGATCATACAGTGAGAACGACAAAATTTTTCAGAATAACACTGTAAGATAAAAAATGTTGTATGGTTTAGCATACATAATTCTTACAGCAGTATAAACTATATTTCATGTTTTTGAGTGATTACTTAGAATAAAACATCTAATTGATTTGTTTTATTATCAGATGGGAACATGCAGATGCTCAATACTATCTGATAAACTTAAGAGGTATACAGAAAACCTGAAAAAGCCTACTGAACATGCTAGCTCTACCACTCATTATTTTTACCCAACTAAACCCATATGTATTTAGCACCTTTTGTTTCTTTCCACATATTGCATGTCTATCATGATACCTTAAAAGACATCCTTTCTTGCATGTTACTATAGCTTCTGCCATGCAGTGGGACACTGTCCTACTAGATAAAGTCTGTTTTAGGGGAGGAAAAATGTTACTTAGTATTGATAGTTCTTTCTCCTCGCAAAAAAAAAAAAAAAAAAAAAAGTAGCATATAAATATCTTTGTCTATGTGTCAGGCATGTTGTATACTTTCTTTGTTGTATATTTCACAAAGGTCCAAGTAATTGTCTAGCAGAAAACACCATAGGGGAATTAAAAGTGAGATTGAATATATAATCCTTTCATTAGTCACTTCTGCTTTCAGAAATCAAATGGCAGAAACATACATTCCTTTCAGTCAAGATTGCCCCTTTGGGAGTGAGTGGAGCAGTTCATGTTAGAGTCCTTTGTTCCCTTTACTTACAGTATTGGAACTGTTGGGCATTAGAGACAAATCATCTATTGTTTTGCTTAATTTAATTTGTATTTAATTCTAGACCAAGGTGCGCAGAATTGCTTGATAAAACAAATAAGCGAGAAAACTTAAAATAGTTATAAATATTGACACACACATTGGATCAGAAGGGAACACTGTGGCAGGTGTATCAAAAAGAGAATGAAACATTTTATTGACACAGTAATCTGAAATAAACCAGACCTAGAATTCAGTCCCTAAATGCAGTTTTGGACTACCTCTTCAGGTTAAGAGTGCCTGACCCAGACCTATTTCAGGGTTTAGAATTCAGCTTAATGGGCAGGGAGTATCAATGCTCCATTCATTGTCTTGTGCTATTTTGATTACTCCTTTTCTCTTAGAGGGCTTGCATGATTGTCTACTTACATAAACCCAGAGTAAACTGGCTCTTCGCCTTTGCTCCTAGCTTATTGCTGGGTCTTTCCTTGCAATCACATCACATTAAAGCGATGCAGTTATTTGTTTCTTTTTCCTCTAAATGGGTCGTCATTGCTTAGGTGCTGACACCTTCAATTACTGACTCACCACCCCAACAGACATTTGGAATTATTCCTCAAAGTGAAGTTAAGCTGAAAACATCATTAGCCAGTGTTGGGGGGAGGGGGGGGGGGGGGG